CACACATGTACTAATAAATGCACATACACCAACTTCAGATAAAGGTGGATGTGTGTGCAAAGAGCAACAGTGACATCTTGGACAGGTGAGTCAGGGTGCCAGGTTGGAGCAGGTGACATCCTAGGAGGACGTGCCTCAAGGGCAGCACCAGCATCCGGGGTGAGGAAGGTGCTGGGAGGTGTGGGAGGCAGAGCTGAGGACGGGGGCCGCAGGCAGGCAGGGTGGGGACACATCGGGACAGAGGGGACCCATGAGGCTTCAGCACAGTGCCGAGGACCTTGCAGCAAGTGGCCAAGAGTTCGGATTTATACTGTTTTCAGAGAAGCCACTGGGAGGAGTGGAAGGGTATTGAGCAGGAGGGCCCCATGGCTGTCGTGAGGCTGGGAGTGCAAGGAGGTACGGAGGTAGACAGACTAAGCAGCAGCTGCAGAAGGATGTGCAGGCACCAGCCTCACTCTAAGGTACCTAGACCTCCCTGGCAGGGAGGTAGGAGAGCTGACAGGACAACAAGATTCAAGGATGATTTCAGGTCTGGGGCCTGACCAATGAGGAAGAATCACTGGTGGATGAGGAGCAGCAGTGGAAGTGTAAGCTCAGAAAATACATCAGGGATTCAGTTTTGGACAAGATGTGGATGTGAATTAGACAACCAACAAGGAGGTGAAAGAGACAGCCTCAGGCAGGGCAGAGGCAGGAAGAGCAGACAGACCAGAGGAAGCTGTCAACACAGGCAAGGTAGTCAAGGTGCAAGAAAGGGGCTGATCACCCAATGTCAAGAAGAAGGGCTCAGAATCCTGACTCTAGCACTCCGAAGTGTACAGGCCCAAAGAAAGAACACCAGAAAACCACAAGCAAGGGGTGAGCAGAAGGCCGGGTACAGTTAATCCCAGCACCCAGGAGACTGAGGCAGGAGGATCCTTGCAGGCCAGGCTGGGCTACAAAGTGAGCTTAAGGCGGGCCTGACTGAACAGGGAGACCCTGTCTTAAAAAGATTAAAAAAAAAAAAAAAAAAATCTACTCCACCAGAATCAAGGTGGAGTAGCCTCCTGGAGCTAAGGAAAGAATTTCTGGAAGCACACCCAATGCCCTGAGATAAGGCTGAGCTCCAAAAGAGAACGCCCAGCGCCTCTGTGACTCAGGATGAACGCTGGCCACGCACTCTGCAGGAGGTCCCCACACACAGCGCGTGCAGACCAACGGGTGACCGGGAAGCCTCCCTTGGCTCCTCTGGAACCTCGCACTCGTGCCAGCCACGCCACAGCACAGCAAGCCTCCCTTGGGGCTCTCCTAGGAAGAGACAGGCATTGTCAGAGAGGCAGGCAGGGCTCTCAGCAGGCAAGCCAGGTGTGTCAGGGCCACACGGAGCCACTCTAGAGGCCCCGGGTGTGCAGCTCCCACCTGCTAGGGGAAAAAGGGCACAGCAGCCAGCCGTGCACGCTCCGTTTTACAGGAGACTGCGGTGCACGGGGGCCTGACCAGGACCACACGGCGGGCAAGCAGAGGAGGCGCACTCTCAGATCCAGAAACTTCACAGAAAAGGAGAAATCATGGATCATTTTGCCTGGCTGCCTCTCCCAGGTCCAATAATTTCTGAGAATCAGACAACAAAATTCTAAGACTGTAAGACTTTTGGCCAAAACTAGTCATTTTCTCATCCCTTGTCAAACATCTAATTGTCAAACAGTGACTGGATGTATTGAGGGTACTTAATGTGATTTGATATACATACACAGCGCAATGGTCACCCCAACAAAATTAATTAATCTCCTACCATCTCAGGTCACACATTAGATTTAAGGAAAATTTGTTCATCTTTCACTTAAATTTCATGTCCTCTGACCATCCTCTCTCCGTGTCCTCCTGCTCCCAGTCCGGGCTACCAGCCTTACACTCTGCTTTCATGACTTCGACTGTTCTAGAGCCCATGTGTAAGTGGGCCCATGCAGAATTTCTTTCTTCAGGGCCAGCCAGCTAGCTCAGTGGACTAAAGCCCCGGCTTAGGCAGGCACAGTGACCGGGGATCAATCCCCAGTGGGCCCTGCCAGCCCCACCCCGGGGTGCTGAGCCATGACTGAGACTGGGTGTGGTAGCACCCGCTGTAATCCCAGCACGTGGGAGGCTGAAAACAGGAGAATCACTATGTCCTATCTGTGTAGTGAGACCCTGTACTGAAATACAAAAGAAAAAAAAGGAAAAAGAAGAATTTCTCTTTCTTTATCTGACTTACATTACTTAGCAATGTTCTCTAGACTCATCCAGGCTGTCTCAAGCGGCAGGACTTCCTCTTTTTGTTAGAAAGCTGAACAGCGTTCCACCCATTCACTGTCCAGCTAGGCGCTGCTGTTTACAGTTTGGCTCTCGTACATGATGCTATGATGGGGCACAGAAAGCTCAAGATACTGACTTCACTTCCTCCGGCACACACCCAGCCCTGGAAGGCTAGGTCCTACGTGACTCCAGCTGCCGCTTCTGCCCCTGATCGCCACGCTCGCTGCCACACCAGCTAGAGCTCACCTGCCTACCGCAGCGAGCCTGCCCTGCACCGCACGCCTCACCGGTGGCATCACCGCCTGTCACGTTGTGATGTTTAGCCAGAAAACCAAGAGAAGCCAACGCCAGTCCTCTTCCACAAGCACAGCACAGGCTCCCAGGTAATCGTCTGTGTCCTCTGAGGACTTCTGACGCTCGCACCATAATGACGAGAGTATTCGGAATCCTGGGGCTCCAATGGGCTCTGCCCCCTTGTGAACATGTGAAGAGAAAATCTGCAGGCAGTTATAAAGATTCCATGAGACAGAGACAGACAGACAGACACAGACAGAGACACAGAGACAGAGACAGAGAGACAGGCAGACGCAGCAGAGACAGACAGACACAGAGACACAGAGATAGAGAAAGAGAGACACACAGACATGGCAGAGACAGAGACACAGAGTTAGAGAGAGAGAGAGAGAGAGAGAGAGAGAGAGAGAGAGAGAGAGACAGACAGACAGACAGACAGACAGACAGACAGGCGGGAGGAGGCTTACAGATTTATCGCACCCCTCTTCCCTCCTCTTTACCTGCAGACTCTGCGGCTAAGTGAGAGCTGACTACACCTCAGCAGCTACCACTGGTTTCTTAAATTTTTCGTCCAAAAAGAAAAAACAATGGGGGGTAGGTCTTCACACTTTCATATTTTATCATTTCAAAGCTATAAAACTTTGCATTTTTACAGTGCTATAACAATTATTTAATACAAAAATTTTTTACATTTACCTCCAACTAAGTTGCTCCCTCTTTAAGTTTTTAAGATAGCTCTGCCTTGGGGCCAGGAGATGGCTCAGTAGAGCAAGCACTTGCCTGGCAAGCGCAAGGACCTGAGTTCAATCCCCGGTTCTGCCAAAAAAAAAAAAAAAAAGATACAGTTGCCTTCTCCAAGAATTTTTAGGAGTGGTGTATTTATGTTACGGAGATTTTTTTTTTATAGACTGCAAATTGAAAATAAATTATTTATAAACATAAATGAATATAACAATAAAAACTATCCCCCCCAAAATGAAGAATTTACAGATCAGTCATAATAGTTCACTGTGTCAAAACCAAGAAACTATAATTAGAATTCTCAAAGTAGAAAGCAGTAGGCAATAAATATTTAAAGATTTAAAATTTCTGAATTTAGTTCAACTTATAATACCACATTTCCATGAAAAATGAACCTTTTGCAAAGACATTTAAATAAAATCATACCAAGATACACAAAAATGAAATTGTCCAAA